GCCTGGTATTTTGTTTCCTCTAGTGTTCTAAGCCCCCGGCCCCTTTCCTGGAACAGAGGAGGCCAAGTGTGCCACTCGGGGGTAGGGAGGGCACCTGCGCCGCCTGCAGGCAGCTGCCTGGTCTGAGGAGGGCAACTGGAGAGGCGCCTGGATGTTTATGTTGGTTTGCAAGTTTTACCTCCTTAACTAAGGTTATGGAAGGTTCAGAATTTGTTTCTTTCCTGGAGGAGAAAAGGGCTCCCTTTGTTGGTTGTATCTTTGTGTTTCTCCCAATTTCCATTTTATTTTTTTCTGGGACAACCATTAATAAATGATTCTCTAACAAGTCCCCGGCTCGAGGCATCCCAGTTCCTTCATGTTCCGCCCATAAACCTCTCTAACTCATCTTTCTCCTTAGCCTCCTAGGTTGAGAACAGTGCCCCCCTCCTCGTGACTTATTTTGCATTCTTCCTGGGACGAAGGTCAGGGGTCCCCACAAGTTATAGCGTGTCTGATTCTCCAGAGGGTTTGTGTGTGTGCGCGTGCGTGTGTGTACACGTGTATGTGTGCGCACACAGGGGCACACTCAGACGTGTGTGGAGACGCAGTAGCTGGTGCTCTAACTGGGGAGTTTGTGCCCAGTGCTCAGGTCCCTGCCCTTGAGGGACAGCTGCCTCCGGCCCCAGGCTGGAAGGAAGCCATCCTGGCGGGTAGCTCCTGTGGGTTCCAGGTGGGCGCCACACACCCATTCTGCGGAAGCCTTACCATAGCCCACAGGGCGCAGGTGCTGCCACTGTCATCACCCCATTTTACATAAATGCTGCTTCCATTAAATCAGCCAGGCCAATTCCTCCGCTTCTTACACCAGGGGGACCCCGTGCAGGCGGGGAGTGAGGCGAGCCAGGGTCTCCTGCCACATTTCCCCGAAAAACACAGTGAGTGCCCTCAGCCCCTCCAGGACACATTCAGAGACCCTGGGGCCTCTGAGGAGCACTCCGTTCTTTCCTTTTCCCTCTCTCCCCAGCACGCCTGGGCTGCGGGCTGAGGGCCACCTCCTGCCCCAGCTCACCCAGCCTTCCTCCTGGGTTGGAGAAGCCAAGGACAGAGGGGACCTGCCAAGCCCAGATCCTACCATGACTTGGAGACTGGGCTGTGAGCGGAGCCTGGCCCCAGAGCCGGCCCTCAGCTTGGGAGAGGAAGGTGGAGGGACCACAGCCAGCTAGCTTCCTTCAGCCCCACAGGGGCAGGGAGAGTGAGACTGAGAGGTTGAGAAGCCAGGGAGGGGCGTGGGGGTTCCCCCAGGTGCAGCCACCCTGCAGAGAACCGAACTGGAACCCACACTTCCTGTGATGCCCCCCTCCATTCCTGCCACACAGACCCCCCAAACCACTACCACAGTGCCCTCTGCCCAAGGCCCTGGCTGGCCCAAGCCGCCAGGATGTAGTCCCACCCATCAGTTTGTCCTTCCCACGCTCTGAGCTGCCTGGCAGGTGTCTGCATCAGCCCTTGTCCCTGGGGCGCCCATGGTAACAAACATTCATGTAAAAAAGATAGGGGGCTCGGATTACCCCGACATCAGCCTCCACCTGCAGTGTGGGGGGTCCTGCCCGTTTCTTCAAGTTTGAAAACACCCAACGTTGCAGAAATGGCCCCCTGATGCTGACAGACGTTCAGGCTGGGCCGCCTCTCAGAACCCCACTCCTGTCTCGTAACAGCAGCTCACAGGCACAGGTCCAACGGGAATGAGGACAGCAGTCAGGGAAAGTGGGGGTCAGTAACACATGGGGCTGATGCAGCCAGGAGAGGAAAGAGACCCCCAGCCCAGGACTCCAGGATCTCTAGTCCCAAAACGGCCTCATCTGACACTGCTCCATTCATAAGGCATTTATTGAGTGCTGACTCCATACATGTGAACAGGACAGGCTGGGGTCGAAGGGCTGCCAGTTTGGTGGGAGAGGGGGTGCGGGAAGGGGAGGGGTACCTGGGAACCCCTCTCCTTCCCCACAAGAGCTAACTCAACTGTGCCCCCGGGCCTTGCTCCCCGCCAGCCCCTGTAGCCTCAAGCCCAGGCCTGGGGGCCAGTCCTTGCAGGGTGTGTCTTTCCCTGAAATCCAGTCTCCACCAAGTTCGGGTCCTGTCCCCTGGTGAAGGCAGGACTCCCAGGGCCCTGTCCTCCCTGCGCCAGCTCCTAGGCAGAAGTGGAGGGACTACAGGAAGAAGGCGAGGGTCCTGAAGACTTCCTGGCACCCTTGGAACCTGGATTTTAAAAGGGAGGAGGGGAGGAGAAAAACACTTAAGATAGGAAATGATTAAATGCTCCCCAAGTCCTAGCTGAACCCTCAGCGCTGCCCGGCCTCTGGCGCCACCTGGGGGCTGCTCCTGGAATAACAAACCCCCAGGACTGGCCTGGACGGGGCCGCCGGAGTGGGGCCCGGAGCCTGGAGAAAGCGCACCACCTTCTCGCTGCCGCCGCCCTCGTGCTCTGCTCACCCCGATGTGTTATTACCCCCTGAGTAAGTTACCAGGGAAGCCTTAGGCGGCCTTTTTGGGTCAATATCCTGGCGAGGGCTCCCGGAGCCCTCCCTGCCTTACTCTCCAGGCACCAAGAGGGGAGTTCTGTTCCTTTGGATTTAGGGGAAAGAGGTAGGTTCCAGGGCCATCATCTCTGTGTTCCCTCTGCTTCCAGCATCTCCCAGATGGACCTCATCAAACCTCACAGGGAATAGTATTTGCTCCTGGAGGGAGTCCCAGGAAAGCGTCTTTCATCCATGTCACAACACTCACTGTGCAGGTTTGGGGAGGGCGAGGGGTCGAGCCCACCCTGCCACCACCCTTAAGGCTCTCAGAGTCTGATGGGGGAGGCAGCACCCCCACGGGCCCTCCTCTAGCAGCAGACTTCCCCTAAGGCGATCAAAGGTGCTAAGTCGGTTTTCTCTTTCAAAATCTCAGAGAATCTTTTGCGCCTGAAATAATAATTGTTGCGATTTTAAGCCCCGGCTCCTCAAAGCCTGGCCCTCGGGGCCTGTAGCATTGGAGGCAGCAACGGAGACTTTCAGAAAGGCAGATACGCAGGCCCCACCCCAGCCCCACAGAATTGGAATCTGCATTTAAACAAGATGCCAGATGAAGTCTAAGGAGAGCCTGGGGTGGGGGTGGGGGGGGTGAGGGGGGGGGGCTTAGCCCCTGCTGCCCTCCTGAGCTCATCCACACACCCCAAACTCAAAACCCACTTCTCCATCCAACCTGCTGCTCTCCCAGGGCTCAGGCCTCACTGCCTTGGTTCCACCCTGAAACTCCACCTGGGAGACTACAGCTGCCTCCACCCTTCTAATGCTCTCGAACTCTCTCCCCTTATGGTTGCCACCGTCTTCACTCTGACACACAGATCTGTCTGGCCTTGCCTTTCCCATGGTTCCCCAGTGCCCAAGTCCAAATTCTTTAAGGGGACCCGCAAGGCCCTGTAGGCCCCTCAGCTGCCCCAAAATCTGTGACACACCCTAAACACACACACACACCCTTCTTCCCCTAGACACACTGAACCTCAGAGTGCTTTAATGGGCCCTGCTCTGGTGTTGGAAGCCCCCTGCACACCCACTCCGGAGCCTGGGTTCCACTTCCCTGTGCCCCACTAACCAAATGAGGCCTCCAGAAGTCACCTCCTCCAGGAAGCCCTGGTCTGGGCCAGCACCTGTCACCCTGCATTTTAACTGCAGCTCTCCTGTCTGCCTTGTTCACTGCTGGCCCAGCCCAGCAAACTATTTGGCGAGTGAGTGGATATGAGGAAGCCGGGATCAGACCTTCCCCAGGACACGCAGTTCTAAGTGCCCCCCAGGACTAGAGCCCTTGCAGTAACTACTCCTATCCCACTGTTATGCCCCTGCCAGATCACCACGCCTGGAAAAGGACAGCATTTTCTTCCATGGGCCCAGAGAGGGAGAGCAACTAGCCAAAGGACACACAGCGAAACCGGACCCAGCTTCTCCACAGCAAGTACCACCTCTAGAACGCTAACCTAAACTCTGCATGGATCCCTGCCCCTCCCGCAGCCCTCCAAGGTGGGCAGTGGGGTTAATCTCACTTCACAGAGGCCCAGAGGTACAGTCTGGCTCCAGGCCCCCTCCACAGCACCCCCACCCCCAGCCACCTGTTCCTCCTCCTCCTCCTCCTCGGCGATGCCCTGGGTCCTGCGTCCTCGGCTTGTCTGGCCGGGCGAGCCTCTTGCCAGCTGAGTTGCGAGTGGTATAGCTGTAGACGGAGGTATAGCCCTGGCCGGTGAGCGGGCAGAAGCGGCGGGTGTGGGCACGCTCACGTGTGGCGCCGCACTGCGGGCACACGTAGTCTCGCAGGATGGGACACAGCACCCGGCCCGCCTCATCTTTGAGCACGTGGGACTGGTAGATGGCCCGGGACTCGCCGTTGTGTTTGCAGAAGGAGCACAGGCGTTCGGGGGCCACCGAGGGTTCCGGGCTGGTTCTCTGATCCCCGGGACCTGGCGCTGGCTCTGGCTGGGGGTCCAGCCTGCTCTCGGGCTCCTCTTCCCCACGCAGAGCCCCCACCAGGCGTGCCAAACCCAGGTAATCTGTCCACAGGTTGAAGGTACCCATGGCTTGGGGGGGCAGGCAGAGGGGCAGAGAGAGAAGAAAGCCTGCCTGCAGAAGCTCAGCCCCTCACTCCCTGCCCCTCCCTGGAGCCTGGGAGTCTGTGGGCTGTCTGTTCCCTCCTCTTACCTCCAAGGGGGTGCGAAGGGGGAGGAGCAGGCTGAGGGAGGCTCCTTATTGTCGCAGGGGGGCTTGCTGACGCCCCCATCAATGCACCTGCCAAGGGGAGGCACTGGTCTCCTGGGTAGGATGGGGCAACGCAGGCTGCAGGGGAGCACCCAAAGGGCACTGAGGCCAGCCAGGGGTGATGGGGGGCTGGGAGCCCTGCCCCAAAGGTAGGCCTTGAGGTATCCAGAAACTGGGCTGGGGGAAGGGACAAGTGCCCCTGGGCTTTTGAGGGGGTTGCTGATGTTTAGCAGCCTCTGGAAGGGGGGTGGCCTCAGGCTTCTGGGTTGTGGGGGTGTTCCTGCCCTAGGGCGGGGTGTGTATGTGTGTGAAACAGAATCCTGCAGAGGGGTGGGGGAGCAGAACCTGGGCATTCCTGAGAGTACTTCACAGGACAGGCTAATGGGGGACCCCCAGCACTTGCTGTCTCCTTGATCTTCTGCCTTCAAAAGAGACCCCATCTTAGCCTGGGGAGGGTGGAGTGTGGCCAGGAGTCACCCAGGTGGGCACGGACTTTAGGCAGAGGGACCAGCCCATGCGAGGCTGTGCAGAGGGCAAGCCGGGGTCCGAGGGTGCCAGGAGGGCGAGAACGCTGTCCCAGGACCCAGACACAGAGAAGAGGGGCCACGCCACGACCACTTCCTCCCCCCTTTCTTTCCGTATTCATTCAGTCAGTCATTCAAGAAATCTTTATTGAGCCCTCCCGGGAACACAGCTTGCTGCCCTATTGCAGAAAGGTTTCTTGCCACCTCCTTCCACCCTGCTTTGTCTCCACCCACCCTCCAGGATTTAGTCCTCAAATCCAGTCCACATCCATCAGGATCCCCGACACCAGCCCTCCCCAAGAGGTAAGAGGCTGGGGGTCAGGGCAAGGGATGGGCTGATTTTGAGGGAGGCCAGGGGGCCCTGTCCCCCTCCCATCCCCCAGACTGTGTCTGGCCCAGCCACAGTGACATTCATCCCCCGGTGGGTCTGGCCTCCGTCCTCACAACCCACCGACAACAATGAATGTTGATTGTGACCTTCGCTGTGGCCTAAGGGAGGGGTATGCTCTCCTCAGGGCTCCACAGTCCGAGCCGGCTTCCCAGTTGCCACCCCCCTCTCCCCAGCCCAGATCTCGGGTGTGGTTGCGACAGGCGGACGGCAGTTCCAGGCCTCGGGGTCCACTCAACGGTCGATGGTTTGCCTGTGCTGCCCAAACTCACCGACAGGTTGAATGTTCCCCCAAACCCTTGGTGGTTTCTCCGGGGACCAAGTGGTAAAGGGGTGGGGACACAGAACCTGGTGGGGGGGACCGGGGGGCAGAGGAGAGAGAGTGAGGGACCCACTGATTCTCATTATCAGCAGTTACTAGGTGCCAACCATCTGCTCCAAACCTGAGACAAGCATGGGGCAAATAACAATACCAAAAAAAAAAAAAAAATGTTGCCCTCAAGTCCATTCCAACTCATAGCGACCCTATAGGACAGAGTAGAACTGCCCCATAGGGTTTCCAAGTCTGTAATCTTCACGGAAGCTGACTGCCACATCTTTGTCCTGCTGAGCGGCTGGCTGGTGGGTTCACACCCCCGACCTCTCTAGCTGAGCACTCAACCACTGTGACACCAGGGCTCCTAAATAACAATAACAACAGTAAATATTCATGTAGCCCTTGAACACAGATGCAGCGGCGCCTGGCGGTTAACTCCTGTAGTCCCCGAAACAGCCCAGGAAGGGGAGACTTAGAGCGAAGGGCACTGCTAGGGAAAGGCAGAGAAGGCATTCCTTTGGCCCCAGATGTCTGCGCCCAGGTGTCTGGCCACACCGCCCCCTCCCTTGGGGCTTCCACCCAGAAGGCTATAAACAAGTCATTTTAATACAATGTAACACCTTCAACTAACTGTGTTCCCAGCACTATTGTTTATGAATCATAACAAGGGGGGTGTCAGCATGAGGCCACAGCCAGATCCTGCCCTCAAGGCCCACTTGCCCATTTTACCTGGGAGAAGGGCTGGGACTAGAGGAGGAAGGAACCCCTGCTCTAGCCTGCCGGCAGGGGGCGGGGAGAGATCTCGGGGTACACTCATTTGAACTCAGGCCCCCCCTTTTTTTTTTCCCTGCTGCAAAAGAAAGCCAGTATTGAACTCAGGCCCTTCTGGGGCCAGCGCCCAAGCGCATAGTCACATGAGTGCTGCCCTCACAGTGTGGGGTGCAAGACCCCACCCTAAGGAAGGCCTTGAAGCAGGCTACAACTATCCCTCCTCAGCCCTGACTGCAAGATGCTGCTCCCGCTTTTCTCATGCGCACAAAAGCCCCCAGTGCCTTCCTCCAGTAGCCGGGCAGAGTTGGATGCCCCTCTCACTGGGGTCTCCCCACGCCCAGGCTCAGGCCTGCAGGTGAGCCCCACCCCCAGCCAAGCAGCAACCAGGGAGGAAAAGGGGAGGCCACCCCCTACCTGGGTCTGGGGGGCCCCAAGATGGGCTAGAAAGGGACATCAGATGTCCGAATGTCCTGGCCCCTCCCCGATGGAACTCCAAGGTGGATCAGGAACCCCAAGTGTGCGGGGCTTGGGTGAGCCCCAGAATGCCCCTCAGTGGAGACTGCAAGCCCCGCCAGGCCTTGCCCAAAAGACCCCCCACCCAGAATTCGCCCCTCTGAAGCCTCTAGCCAAGGCCCCTCCCAAGGCCTACCCCTTAAGGCTCACCTACATATTACCTGCCCCTAGAGCCCTACCCCTAAAGCCTGTCCATCTAGAGTCCCACAAGGCCTGCCCCCTAAACTTGTTTTCTGAGAGCCCAGATCCTCTTGGGCCAGCTCTGAGCCCCGCCCTCAGGACCCATCTCTTCAGGCACACCACCTTATTGTCTGCTCCGGGAGAGCCCCGCCCCCTTAGGACCCTCCTCTGAAGCCCGCCCACCTAGACACCCAAGTAGGCCTTGCGTCCCTACCGATCCCCAAGCCCGCCCCCATGGAGTCCAGCCCTCCACAGGCCCGCCCCCACCTAGTCTCGTCTCCACCTCCTGTCCGGAGTTCAGAGTGGGGCACCCTCTCCTCCATCCATCCACCCTGACCAGTAGGCCCCTTTCGGGCGTAGGGTGGGTGGGTGAGTGGTGGTCCAGAGTTGCTCCCCTTCCCCCCCCCCGACAAGGTATCCAGGCCCTTGGCTTAGGGAGTCTCTCCTCTGAGGGGTGGGAAAGGAAGTGAGGTGCTGAGGGAGACCCGGGGTCTCCTGATTTGAGGATTGGGTGCTAAGGAGGTGAATGCCTAGAGCTGTTGGGTTAGGGGGAGGGCGTGTTGGAAGAGCAAGTGTTATAATCATAATGATTATAATAATACGGCTTTACATACATCGCCCGTTATTAGGAGACCCATTTTACCGGTGGGGATGGTGAGGCTCTGAGAGCTGGGGCCAGAGGGGGCGCAGCGGATGCTCCTAAAGCTATAATGGCAGGTCAGCAGGTGTGCACCCCATGGGGGGAGGGGGGCTCCCAAAACACCTTCTGCGATCGCTTCCCTCTGAGGGCTTTGACCTTGACCTGCCAAGGAGGGGGGCCCTGTAAGGGTCTCCCCAAGACTGAGAAAGGCCCGTCTGGGGGGGGTCTCACCCTGGTGGTCAGGCAGGCAGCGCCAGGGCAAGAGGGTGGGGCTGTAAGCAAGGGGGTGGGAGGGGCTGCAGCCCCCATCTGGCCTGCAGGCGGGGCTGTCTGGGCCTGCGGGGTCGGCCTGTCTCCCTTTGTCTGCCTGTGGTTGGTCGCAGTGGTTTTCCCGCCCTCTGCGTCTGCCTGGGTCTGCCTGTCTCTTTGTCAGCCCGGGGTCGCCTGTCTGAGGCTGACTCTGCGTGCGTGTCTGTGTGTGTGCGCGCGCGCGCGCGCGTCTGGCTGTCAGTGTGTGCCTGTGTGTGGCTGGCCCTTTACACCCATCTTCCCCTCGAGGTTGGGGCAGGCCTGTGGGTGTCAGCCACCCCACCCCTTCTTCTGACTGTCTAGGCTAACTGTCCCTCCTGCCAAGAGTCCCCAAGGCCGACTAGGGTTGCCTAGACCTCCTGTCTCGGCTCTGACCGTCTGGGCATGAGCCCGGTCTACCATTGAAGCCCAGTGGGGTAGGGGGTGTGGGGGGCGGGAGGGGCTGTCTCCTCCCACCCCGCCCCCACCCTGTGCAGGCCATTGTTGCCCTCCTGGCTTCTTCCTCCTCCTTAGCCCCTGGTACCCCCACCCCCAGCTGGGACGGTCTGTCTGGGGCAGGGGCTGGGGCTGAGCAGGGTTGGGGGAAGCCCTCCAGAAGCCACGCTGACCCAGGAGCCTTGCCGACACCGGGGTCCTGGGATGCAGGACAGCTGTGGGGTCTCGGGGTCAGGGTCAGAGGTGAGAGGTCCCAGCAGAGCCAGATGGGCAGGCAATGGATGGAGGCAGCTCTGCGCCGCCGTCAAGTTGAAGAACAAGGGGTGGGGGAGGTGCCAGGCCAGAGGCAGGAGGTGATGTCTGGAGGCCTGTGTGTCCCTGTCTGTGTGTGCTTCCTTCTGTGTGTGTCCCTGTGTGTATGTTGCCCTCTGTGTGTGTGTGTCCTCGTCTCTGTGTATGTCCCAAGGTGTGTGTCCCTCTGTGTGACCCTGTACGTCCCCCTGTGTCTCTGTGTATGTCCCTGTGTGTGTGTGTGTGTGTGTGTGTGTGTGTGTGCATGGGCCAGCGGGGAGGTCGGTTGGTCAGACAAAGAGCCCATTATGGGGGGTGCATTGACAGAGTGAGCCCTGTGGGGGTCCTCAGGTGAGGGGCTTGTTGATGGCCCGGGCTGTCTAGACTGGGGGGCAGGGGCTCCTGGTTTTGGTGACACCTGCGTGGCCTCTCAGGTTCCTGCCCCGCCTTGCC